GATACTGGCCGAAGCTCTTATGAATGCAAACAACGCTAGATTTCCACATGGGCACCACGAAGAATACGTCTGTACACGGCGGACAAGAGAGAAAAAAAAAAGCTGTCGATATAAATCTTGCTAGGAAGGTAGTTGTGTGTAAAACTAACGAGGCCTAGTTTGCTAATATCCAGGCGAGGGGCCCGCGCGCCGAGAAATGAGGCTCCGTCGCACACACACACATGCGCGTATGCGCATGCGCACGCGCGTCGGATGGCAACACCGGTCGTAAATCAAGCGCCGTGCGTTGGGCGGGGACTGCTAATTGTGCGTGCGCGCGCCCGCGCACTTTCTACGCACAATGCGACGCGAGGCAGGCCACCGACCACGGACTGACAGCAGCGCTCCTGGCGGGTGGCGGCGGAACCGGTTGCAAGCAGCTGTTCAGCCCCCGCGATCCCACCGGCTGAGGTGGCTCAGGGCATCAATAGATATCAGAGCGATGCCTCTGACCGGGAGGTCCTAGGGTTCAACTCCCGGCGGTGGCAGGATTTTCGACACTGCGTAGAGTGCTAGTTCGAATGCAGCCGCCTGATCTGATCGGTAGTTTTCCGTGGTTTCTCCGATCAACAGGGAAATGCCGGATCACAACCCTAATAAACAGGCCGCAGACCTCACCCCTTACTTACATTCACAAGCACTACACTACCACACATGCCAGGAGACCACTCGAGAGCTTAGAGCCTGTCTCGGCTGGGGCGGTGCCCCCTGGTGGGGGATACCTGGTTGGGGAAAACCCCGTAAGGCGACGTTGACCTCGCTTTCTAGTGGGAAAGATGATCGCCACCTCCCGCGATAAAATCACGCACTACACATATGAGATGAACGATCTTAGCAGTTGGCGCACGGAAACACTGACTAATCAAAACTACTCTGGGGGGCAAATCTCGTCCAGAGACGCCTGCTCGTTGATGACTCTTCGGTTGCGCCCGCGCCCAGAAAACCATTCACTGATCGTATTAATTTAACGTTATAAAATGTATCAGGATAAATGGTACAAACTTCTCGAGCATGTAGAGGGATCGAAGACGATAACTTTTTGCCAGTGAACATGTGGCTGGAAATTTCGTATAAGTAAGTTACACATTCATGGCATTTGCCTCTGATTGGGAGGCAACTCATCATACAGTGGTGTTTGGCGTGTCATGTTGTGTTGCAGTCAATGATATTTCTTGTACTTACCAATAAATGCCTATCACTTCTTGGCGATGCAGATGTGGTTGGTAGAGTTTCATTGAAATAACTTACACAGGTTGTATTTGCTTCTGATTGGTAAGAAAAGCATAATTTACGTCACTTGTGTAACTTCTTTAAATGAAACTACCCACCACTTCTGCATTGCCAAGAAGTGATCTTTTTTGAACTCGTCTACAAGCTCCTCTAAATTACTCTATCAGATTTTTTAAATTTTTTGATACCACCATTGCACAAGATTTTATGGGCCTACGCAAGCAACTATTCAATATTTTTAGAATGAGCTGCTTATTGGATCTGTGTACGTAGCCGTCCTGGCCGTTTTGTGGTAGTCAATGGGTGTTTGTTAAAGAGTAGAGGTAATAGGAGTTAGATGGAGGAAGCGTGTTACGTAGGGTTTCATAAAGCAGAGTTCACGCAAGCATGGATTTACTTGGCGCCGTTAGGCGCGCAAGCATTTGAAACTCTATTAACTAAGCTAAGAACGACGACCCTTTCATCAAATTTTAGTGCTATTTATTGTGCTGCAACTATTGAAATCTGTTTTTTCGTTAGAACAATCGAGTCTGTTGTGATCGTTTAAAAAAGTTGTCTTAGACTCAAATTTTGTTCCAAATTAAAATCGATATAATATGCTTTAGTTTGCTCTACTAACTTTCATGCTAATTTTCCCTCTTTCAAGAAATATTAGTGAAAAACAAAAAGTCACTAATACGCCGTAATGCCTGGAAAAGCAACACTATACACAAATATTAAATAAAACAAAATGATATTACCGCTGGGATCTGATACGTCTGTTGTACCACCAGTGGTTGCATGGTGAACTTTTCTCTCTTGCTACTTTTTGGAATGCAATCTTTCTGTCAACCGTTCGACAGTTGCTTCGTTAAGAAATACATTGTAATCTAGTTACATTTAAGTCAGATTTGACTCTATAAAAATATTGTATGAATATCAGTCACAGAGTGACGTTTGAGCTCCAAATATTATAAATTTCGCTCGAATAAAACTCTCAGCCTTCATATATTATTTATTGAATCAATAGGATATTAAGCACAATATTTGTTTTACAATTCAATAAACACAAAGATTATAAATAAACACCAGCTCTTGTAGCCAAAGCCGTATGACAGTGTTTATAGTCAAGAAAGCTGCTCAAAACGTCGAGAATTAGATGTGAATATTAGTATTTGTTTTTTTTGTGTATACGTATTTAAGAAATAGAATTCAATCCCACCGTTAATTGAAATCTGAACTGGTTTCTTTCAAAGGCTGTTCGCAAAGTAAATTTTATAATAGTTTCTCCCGAGTATAGTCCATTTCCATTATAGTCAATTTTATTATCCATAATTCTATTAATTACAATCTCCATTTCATTTTTCTGCTAGGAACACATTTGAAAGTTGGTGAGTAGGCAAAACGATTAATCTATATTTGGATTATATTGCAAGAACCATCGTTCAATGAGTCAATGACGACGTCATTTAAAACGTGTGTCAGTTAATTAATTGTCAGCAAAATGTGTGAGGAACAATTAAGTAGGAATTGTGTGAAATTCTCGGTAAAGAATAAGTGAAAGAACCCTTAAAGGAAACAAGCGATTGCGAGTTGGCTGACAGAAAATGTCGGAAAAGGCAATACTGTCATTTCAGCACGTTCCTCTTTGTAGCTTCAAAAGGTTCTCCTAGACGTAGTCGCTGTTATTAAAGTTGTGAACTTCGCAAGAATGCTATTGCCACATTGTGGGTAAAATAGAGACAAGTCATGCTGGTTGGTATGTGGTTTCCACAGCATCGGTAAATCATGACAATACATCTGACAAGTTGGTAAATCATGACAATACATATGACAAGTTGGTAAATCATGACAATTGTTACATTACCGTGAAGCTTTAGTGACAAAGTAACCGAGAAGTTCTAATAAATAATTTGTGTGTTATTCGGATATTATTGTAATGAGGATGAAAGCAAATCCGTTTTTATAAATTAAATGATTTCTCTTAATATTTGTAAGTTCTGGATGTTGGAAAGTTTTGCGACACGTAACTATTAATGGTGTTTCATGATGTCCCTAAGTTCCTTGAGTATTCAATTAAGAAAAAAGATACAAAAATGATTTTAAACAATTTATTCTTTTTTTGTCGTTTTGATCCTACTTGGTTTCTTCTTCAAAAATCTAGGGTCCAGGTTACTTAAAACACTTTATTCAGCATATTTATAAAAAAAAGTCAATCTTATAAAACCATCGTTGAAGTTCAAAATACTAGCAAACATCATCTAACCAAGTAGCCAATCAGTTAACCTATTGTTTTATAAAAATTCTAACGGATTGTTTACTAAATGAATCCAGTAAACCTAGTCTCTAGAGTTTGGGGAAAAATGAAAGAAACGAAAAAAAAATATTAAAAATGTTACCGTCTATTTTTATTAAAATCAGGAAAGTGGTCTACAGAAGAAAAGGGTAAATCTAGAAGATCATATTTTGAGTAGGGAAAAGAAATCCTTGACCCAGAGGCGAATTAATGTATTAGGGAGACGTAGGCATGGCTGTATTATAGAGCCCGTGGAAGTTATGAAGTATTAAAAGTGGTATGTGAATAAAATTAATTTAAAAAAATGAAATTTAACTTGAGTAATATAAAAAGATGATATTAATATATTTTTACATATTTATGAACCAATATTAATTTGGGCTTAAAATATATTGTAAATAGATTAATAAAAAATTAAATGTCTTTATTGATGGCGAGGCTCAGGCCATTTCGCCTGTTCTTCCGCCTGACTATTTTCAAAAAATTTTAATACAATAGTTAATGAAAAGAAGGTCATTTAAAAAGAGAAATACGTACGCAATTTGGATGAGGGAGGGGTTTTACATTGAGGACAGGAATGTAAGCGAGGGAGGAAGGAGTAGATAGAACAGGAAATACTCTCACAGCATGAATGAGATGAAATGTATTTATTTTAAGTTAGGGATGTGTTAAAGGTAATGATAAATACATTAGAAAGGTATGAGAATTTGTTTCAAAATTAGATAAATTATATTTTCTGACTCAGCAAATTAGGTACTGAAAGGATTGGACAGATTCTGTATAAGTCAGTAAAAGGTTATTAAGTATTTCTAAATGTTTCACACTGAGGATTTGAAGGAGCTAAGATTGCGTACGTATTATTGAATTACCCCTGACGAATACTAGAAAGGGTATCGTCAGCATACGAGCGAAAACACATCGAGTCAAGAGTTCAGGCCCTGAGAAAAATGGAAAACGTTGGAAAATAAGGTATTTCGTAATGATAATACTCGTATTTCATAACAATAATAAAAATAAGGTTAACAATATTAATAATATATGAATGTATTATAAAACTATTCGGTTTTTAAATTACGTTAAAAGAAAGGGATCAAAAACAATGAATTCAATTTTAGGAAACGTTTTCAAATTAATTCCCGTACTAGAAACGTAGAAATTATGAAAATTTAGGAACTGTTTACCAATTAAAATATTCCCAAGACCCGAAAACCCGACCCAACATCTTCCACCCGTAAGCCAACCATATATATAATGTGTGTGTATATATATATATATATATATATATATATATATATATATGTGTGTGTGTGTATATATATGCGTATATATGTAACATATATATGTATATATAGTATAATGGTTTGTAGTTCCCTGTCCACGATTAAGCTAGCGGTTACGCGCGTGCTGGTGCGTGAGTGAAGCTAATTGAAGCGCGTTGCTGTTGTTGTGTGCGCAGAGTCGTCGCCGATGTCCGCGCGCAACTTCCCGCCCTCCTTCTGGAACAGCAACTACCAGGCCGGCGGCGCGGGCGGCGGGGGCGTGGCGCACCACTCGGCCGACCTGTACGCCGACCCCTACCACCACGCGGCGCACGGCGGCGGCGGCGACCCCTGGCACTCGCACTACCAGCAGTACAGCGCCGCCGTCTCCTCGCACCACCACCACAGGTACGCGCCACCCACGCGCCACCCACAAGACACGGCAGGGCGACAGACGGGACTGGAGATGGGAGATTTGAGCAGTTATTGCAAAAAGTGCGAAATTTTACCTAACGCTGAAAACAAATAGTTAATATATGTTTGACTGTCAGCGCAGTATATTTCTGAATGTTTTCAATATGTACAAATATATGTATATATTGTAATAAAATGCAAAATTGATCATAAATGCAAAATCACGTACAAAATGCTAAATGGTCATGAATCTGCGATATAATTGCTAAATTGTATTTTATAATTTCCTTCATGTTTGCTCTCCAACCTCCCAGCACACGAGAGAGCGTCGGACGGATTTGGAGATGGAAGATTTTAGTTATTATTGCGAAAAAATGCGAAATGTTATCAATCGCTGAAAAAAATGTCATTGTATGTTTAACAGTGAATGCAGTATATTTCTGAAAGTTATCAATCTGTAATAAAATGCAAAATTGATGACAAAATGCAAAATCACGTACAAAACGCGAAATGGTCGTGAATTTGCGATATAATTGCAAGTTGCAGGACAAGCGACAAGTGTTGAGAAACATTTGGAAAAATGTGTTAAGTGATATTTTTCAACGATGGCCAACAAAACATAACATGAAGGTGTAGTTGAACGAACAGACGCTTTGCACGCAGACTATTGTTTTGAAAATACTTTATATATGTTTCAATTACTTACAACAATGCGATGATGGGTATACGTAATTTTCATAAGTTTCCTCTGAGAAAAATAATTAAAAAATAAATTGAGGCTTCCTGTAATATAACTTTCAAAATCAAAATATTCATTTCAAAATCAGAAGACAGTGACATCATCCAGATCAATCGGGAAATATCAACTTTGGGGCCTAGAGTTTACCCGCTAGTTCAGAAACGGACGGATAGGAAGTTGGGCTAGCAGACGGACGAATGCATGGAGAGACTTCCGGACGGACAGGCGAAGTGGCGGACGCACGGAAGGATGTTCAGACAGACGGACAGGCGAACAAACGTACGGACAGATGGATAGCCAGACGGATGGACATTCAGACGGACGAACAAACAGGTAGGTAGACATAACTCGTATAGATAGACTGACCGACAGAAGAACGGATGTGCCGAACGACAGACGGACGGACGATAGGCAGGACGCCCGTCGGGCGGACATTTGAACGAATTTTTACTTTATCAGCTTACTACATAAGCAATGAAGAGAAAGTAATGTGATTATGCGGCGGTTTCGCCGATTTCGGTAATCGCCGATTTTTTGATAGAAACACTTTTATTTTCGGGCTCTGGTGTCGCAGAAGTGGATAAATCGTGTTATGTAGTAAATTACTTTCTCTCATTGGCTAGACCCAATCCATGATTTGTGGATTCTTGGTTTTGAAAAATCAATTGACGGCCAAACGACTCTCTGTTCTTCGGAATGTCCGTTCATCTGTAGTCAAAGCTAGCGCCAAAACCAAAACTGGCCACACTATTTCCTCCAAAATTGATATTGCCCGGTCAATTTAAACCAACACAAATATCTGCACTTTTGAAATAAATATTTTGGTTTTGGGGGATACTTAACGTTTTCAAGATATTCTCATAACTGGCTCCAAATTTTTTTTTGAATTTTGTCCTCGGATAGCATAGAAGACTTTTAAAAGAATGTAGCAGGTCTCATTTTCGTTGAAATCCTTGAGATTACAAAAACTGAAATGGTTTCAAATGTTTTGTCGTCTTCCTAAAACTACAATATTGAAGACGGAGACTTTCTTCCTGAATGAAATCTGTTCTTCATAGATAGATTTTCAAATAAGATCATGTACAATTTTTTTAAAATATGAATAAGATTGGCGTAATTGTGTACTAAAAAACGGCTTCAAGTGTTTTTCTGTAAATTTTCTCTTTGAGTTAGCAAAGGAGCGTAAAAGAGCGGAGCTGGACCAGTTTTCGGAAACATCTCTGCATTTGCAAAATTTGCAACAACAAAAATTGTAAAATTAAAAGTATTGAAAGTAGATCAGATCTTTAAAGAAGATAAACAATTATTTTGGAAAATACGAGTAGTTATTGCGTTATTTCTACTTACAGTAAATGCTCTTTATATAAAAACATTTATTAAAAAAATTACAATTTTTTTCTTCGTATAGAGCAAAGACTGCTCTAAAAGTTGTGCAGGTCTCATTTTCGTTGAATTCTATGATTTTTCGAAAACGGTAGTTAAGAAATACTTGGAGAGATTTTTTTAATCGTCGGCAAAAGTGAGTACGTTCGAGGGACTGCGTGGTGTAGCGCATGTCGCTAGCCCAGAACCATCTCCAGAGTAAGCCTAGAGCTAACTCCAGCTAAAAGTTCAGTCAAAAAAGTCGGCTAAATGTTATCTAAAAGCTTACTCCGGAGACGAAGCCCAGAGCTAACTCCATGGGCTTGAATTCGAATCTCGGTGTGTAGAAAAGATGTTTGCTAGTCGGAAACACGTCTTCAGAAGTTAATGTAGTAGTATACGTTACGTAGCCATTAGAATTCATGCGATGATATATGTGCTGCTTTAGCACTACTAGTTCGGTATGTAGGATCCACAAGTCCATTCGGTATGTAGGACCACATGACGTGTCAGACGAAGTAAGTTTCTACATACAGGAATAAAAATTATTAACTATTTTCGCGGTATCAGGGACCTACTACAATAATTTTTTGTATAAAAAAAATCGTCATTTTTTGCATCCGCGATACATGATGTTATCTATACTCATTAAGTAGCATTCGAAAACCTAATATACTATTCATGTAGTATGAGAAAAAGTAAAAATACTCTAGCTCTACAACTGTTCAAAAATAGTTCCAGCTCAATGACGAGACGTTCTGAAGAGAAGACGCCCATTAATATGTAAGTAAGATACTGATGTTTATTCATTCAAAACCGTGTGAAGGTCAGTGCGACACAATGTATTAATTTATGCTAGGAATAAACGCCATTCATTTTAAAATATAGCATAATTTTTATTTTTGTTGTTTCTTCTGTTTACTAAATGAGTGAAAACTGATTCTAAGCGCGTAAGTAATTAGTGCCATTCGAGTAGTGCACGATATATCCCGGGAGGCAACGGTGTTCATCCTTCGCTGAAATGTGGTCTCCCCAAGGTATCTTCTCTAGAGGGCACCGAAGCCCAGCCGGGTAAGCTCGAACCACCCAAATGACCTCCCGCGGTGCGTAACAGAGTTCATGATTGAGAGGTCTGTGACCGGTTTTGTTAAAGAACTGCTCCTGTGTTTGTTCAGTATAGATAAGAGAAACTATGGAACATAATCGAGGCGCCGGACACTATAATTCTCCTCCAGGCATTGATTGAATACTACCTAGTAATAAAGGCAGTTTCGCAAATCTTGCATCGTCGGAACCCAAACTCTAGAATCGGTATAACTGAAGAATAGAGGTCTACAGACATAAATAAAATTTTAATAACTCTGTAACACAATCTGTAAAATTGTGATCATTATATTTTGATCCGTTTTGTTGTTGCTTTTTATGTACTGAGGTTAACGCCTACACCTATAACGTGTCTACTAAACTGAAATATGAGTTTGCGACTTCTATATCTTCCTCCACAAGTACAGTAATATATTATATTATTCATTGAAACTAAATAATAATAATAATAATAATAATAATAACAATAATATAAATAACAATAATAAAAGCAATTTCGTTAGTGGTTCCTTTGAAATAATCTACCTTTTTAGTCTCCGTTATTTACTTTTCTATGAATAAGTTCTCTCGCCTGACGCGTGTGCACGTAAGTCTTTCATTTACATCAGCACTGCAAAGAGAGCACTGCGAGTTTAATTTTCCTTCTACGGTCGTTTATATCTTTCACAAAACCTGTTGTATTTGGGAAAATCCTGGGATTCTTTATTGTACATAAAATAATGAATAAAGAAATCAAACAAATAAGTTAATGAATAATGAAATCAAAAAAAGGTAATAGCTTAAATGGTATTTTTTTAAATTTATTTTTAATTCAAAACTGCATACGATAACCGTATATCAATTCGTTACCTTCACTTATCTTAAACATCATTGGAACGACACTAACAGACCTTACTGTGGACTGTACCAACTGTACCAAGTTAGAGATCAAAAGCTTATAATCTGGCCAATTTGCGCGAGATACACATCATCCATATAGCCTTCATGGCAAAACTACTGGTGTTTCATTAGTATATTCCTTCTCGAGTTATTTCCATATTTCGCAATTTTCGAAATTTAAGAAAGTTCAATGAAAATGAGATTTGTACCATTTATTTAAACAACCTTTCGACTATGCGAGGAAAGTATTTTAAGAAAAAAACTTACAGCCGCTTTAAAAAAAATACAAATCTTCGCGTAAACTAATTGTGTTGTCAAGTCGATTTGTATGACCTTATTCAATATCTCATATTTTGGAACAGATTTCATTACAGAAAAAAATCATAAGTTGTAGTTTTGCAATGTTGACTTTTTGTAAATCTCAAAAGTTTGCCGAAAATGAGATCTGCTTAATTTAGCGACTGTTCATACATCCGAGGGGAAAATAATTATGACAAATCGGAGACGTTTTGGGAAAATAATTGTTTAAAAATTGCCGTGGAAATCATCAATTCCATGTTTTGAACCGAACAGTTGAGGACGAGTAAAAACATAATATCCATAGGGATTATTAATTCAGATTCGTTTTAGTGATTACAATATTTGTTACTTGCGTATTCATTCGTCCAGAATTGCCCAATACAATATGGAACTAATGCATTAGCAATAATACTATGCATTATACATGCATCAATGATGTAATGCACAGTTCCGAGCCTCACCGTTCGGTGCCAGTATAAAGCCATTACATATTCTTCACTTTGAGTTCATTTGTTTCCAAAGTGCGGTCTTCAGTTCGCGTGGATCCCCATGATTGTTTCTTCCGACAAACATGTATGTTTTTGTTGCCTATTTTTTTACTTCTTTTTGC